CTCTGGTGAATCCTCTCACCCTCCGCATCTCTGGCCTGTACCCCAGTTCTGTATGAACAAATAAATAAATCTTAAAAAAAAAAGTTCCATGAAATATTAAAATATGTAAGAAAGAATGATTTTTTTCCTATAAAAGTTTTCTATATCAGAAAAGATAATATAAGCAAATGTGAAAGGTAAGTGATTCCAAGAAAATATTTGCAATACGTAAAAACAAAAGAGATTCAGAATGCATGTAACTATATCTACTAGCAAAAGACACACAACCCAGCAGGGATGTGAATAGACAAAGGATGTGAACAGCCAGATCACGGAAGAAACGAGCACACTAAGGAACAAAAATCCTCCTCACTAAGATTCAGGGAAAGGCGAAGTAAAATCATAAGATACCATTTTCCACCAGCACTGGAAGATCTTTTAAATTATATAAAGCGTTTGGTGAGGATGTGGAAAAACATACACTGAATGTCACTACTAGTCAACATACAATTATATGCCCAATTTCATGGGCAAGTTGGCAGATCTGTCTGATGTGCATAGCACATAATCTAGTAATCCCACTCCCTGGAATAACATCAACTATGAAATGTGCATGTGGAGTGGGGAGGCATATCTATATACCTGTTGTTAAAGTGCAAATGAACTTTGGGTCTCCCTCGTGGTGCAAGGACAACGTAAGCCTCAGCACTGTGAAGCTGTCCGCAGCCACTGCAGCACAAGTTCAATCCCCGGGAGGGAGCTGACCCACATGGTACAGCAGACCTCTCCTCTCTCACCACTGCTCCCCTCAGAAGGGTATTTCAGTCGATCTGCCTGTTCTGCTCCCCGCTCTGTCTCTGGTGAATCCTCTCACCCCCACACCTCTGGCCTGTACCCCACCTCTGCAAGTATACCTGTCGTGGACTCAGTTCTAACCCCTGACTTTCCCCTCAGTACAGCAACTGTTACAGTCCAGACAACCTCAAAGAAGACAAGAACATGCAGAAAACATACCAGCAAGCAATCTCTTTGCCACTGAGGGCCGTCTCGTTTCCTGAGGAAACACCTCCTTGGCTACAAAGGCTCTCTTCCCGCTCTTCGGGGATGTACTCTGCCATGTCTCGGAAGCCCTTGGGTGACCAAGAGGAAATCCATTTCGAATGTCAGAGAAACATTTCTTCACCTTTTTTGGTGACAGTTTCTTTTCCAGAAGGGATTCCAAAGCCTGCCGTGAAAGTCAACTATTCTTAGTTTATCTCACAAAAGTCTGATTTTTTAATTGCAAAACTAAAAATGAGAGCTCCAGAGAAAGGTGTTATTAAATGGCATGTCTAATGGTTAATGAAACATTAACACTTTATATCTTAGATATCTAACTAATTAACGAAAGGAATTATGTGTGTTATTTACATGTGTAATATTCATGAGACCAACAGCAAAGATATAAAGGATATGACTACTTTTAAGGTGTTCAAATCCTTAAGTTAAGGATCCCATGTTAGAAGTTAAATAATCTATACATAAATACAGAATGCAATCCTGCGTAACTTTAAGGCATTTGAATTCCCCATGAAAACCTCACAAACACAAGTATGACCACCAGTGAGCAAATAGACCACATGTAACGTACATTTTCACAAATGAAAGGAAAGTCAGCAAGTCAGTGGCTCTGGTCACTTGATGGGACAGACCTATCCCTCATTTGTGAAAGTGGCAAGCCCTCGAAGTACTTACTCATTTGAAACCAGGCAGTGAGGGCCTGTCTCCACCTGGTCAGTACAAACTAAAGACAGCTGAACACAGCCAGACAGCTTTGGTCCAGAGGGCAGGAAGGCAACAGTAGGAAGCTGTTGAAATGGTACAGTGCGCCACCACATTGCACTGCAGAATATGTTCAAAAGCCAGGAGGTAAAACATGCTTACAACGTTGAAAAGGAAATCATTCTGGCCAATGAATGTTTCTTATGGGTAAGTTTCAGAAGCATCACTTGGCTCGCTACGCCCTCGAAACGTCTGCACTTGAATACCTCCAGGAGTGAGTTCCATTACACACAATGGAACAAGCATGCACCACACACTCACCTGCGGGATAATGGACCTGTAAGGGCAGAGGGGCCGCCGAGATAACCATGGGGAGCCCTTGGCAGAACTGGAAGGGGACTTAGTCCATCATTCTCCATACTACACCATCTTGCCCTCGCAGTTAACAGCTTACTTTGCCACATTAAAATAAGGGTCATCTTTTCATTTCTGGCTGACAAAAGGTGGCACAGTGGAAAGACGCTGGTGTGAGGGTCAGGAGATAGGAATTTTATTCCCCAAGAGATGTAACTGTGTCATCTGACTTTTGCTGCCCAACCCCCCGCCTTTTTTTAAATCTATAAAACAGTAATAAAAAAGCCTATTGAAAATCATAGCACTGCGGTAAGGATAAAATGGCAAAATGGTGTGGTAGCACTAACAAACTTCAGAAAACTATAGATTTAAGGGCTTACTGTTTCTTGATGATTTTGTTATCAGTAAGAACTAAGAACGCTATCCATTCCTGACTGGCATACACCACGTGTAATTTCCATCAGTCTTTAGTCTTAGCATGAGACGTAACTCTTGGCTTTCGATTACCTTCACGTTTTTCATTTTCAGAAAGTGGTCTAAGTGCACGGTGATATTTTTATCTGCACATTAATCCAAGAGTGTTACTGCTTCTCTTGCCTTTCCTATGTTAGCTAATTCCTTATTAGAAGGCATGGTCAGGGAATGGAACATTCCATTTAATTAATGGGCCTGGCTCAGAGATGTTGTATGTTCTAGACACTAGCCACTAAGTCTCAAAGAAGTGAAATACAGTATTTTAGACGTCTATAAAAAAACAACAGAAGTGAAGTGTTCCTTCTGCACTCGCAATGCTTGACATTACTAGGTAGCAGCTAATTCCTTTCATACCTCGATTTGTTGTAGAATCTCTATAACCACATCAGGAACAGAAGAATCGGCATCCAGCTTGGCAGAACAGAGGGAAAGCTGGCGAATCAGACTACCCAGTTCCCTGCACCGAGCAGGAACTGGGTGCTCTCCTCGGTCAGTAAACTGAGTGACAAACATCTGTAGGGCCCGAATGGCTCCTCGATGGGCAGCCGCCAGCCTGGACATTGCCCATGACTGGCAATAAATAAGATGTGAGAAGTTATTTCAACATTCAGAACTTCCAAACTTCAGCCCCTCCTCTGACAAATATTTACAGTCTATCTTCTTTCTTCACTGAGCTATTTCTATTATGAAATATCTAGTAAAAGAAAAGAACTTCAAAGTTTAAAGGTTTTGTGACAAAATCTTATACTACCAGCAACAATAGCTCCTTAGAAAACCACCCCAAATTCAGAACACTTAAGGAGCTCACACCCAACAGGTTTCTACGAATGCTGAAATAATAGTGCAGAGAACCCACACACAGCACTAACAAAACACTGGAGATGTACCTTATAGATAACAAGGATTAATCACAATTGAACTGTGTCATACCTTCTTAGTGTGCTTAATTTTATGTGGACTCAACTTATCCAATTCTTCTTGGATTTCTTTAACCTGTTTTGTAAAGGGGGAAAAATGAAAACTTCATACCTTTCCAATGATCTTTTTTGTAGAAAAGGATACATCTTGTCTTGTCCAAAAATAACCAATATTAATTCAAGTCACTTGAAAATGAGACAAGGCTCTTCATTCATTCCCCCAAAAATAGTTACTGGTTTCCAGTTCAAGATGACCAATAAAGCACAGTGTTCACCTTCCATCCCTTGGTCCCCAGTGTAAGAGGAATTTAACATGAAGGAGCGAAGGTGGAGGTGATTCTGGAAAGGTAGGAGTGCCATGCTTAAGAATTTAGCTTTCATCCTCTAATTACACAGTCACCGAAGTCTTTAGAGTAGAGGATGGACAGGGTAAGATCTGTGTTTTAGGAGGCTCTCCAGGGGAGAACCCAAAGAGAATACAGAAAATCTAACTCAGGCATTTTTCTTAAAATGAAAAAGACTAGGTTTTGGTTCAAGTAATACGGCTGATGTGTGACTTCAGGACCTACTTAGGGTCCCGAAGTAACATACTCTTAGAATGGGACCTCATTTCCAGCCCAGACTTACTAAAACTCTTTAAAAATCTATCTGCAGTTTAAAGAATGTGAATACCTACTTATAAGCCATTAAACGTGAGACACTTAGCATGATCTTCATTCTTTACAGTTCAATAAGTCATTCAGTATCTCTACTGTCACAGCTTCTAGTACATTGTAAACAGAAGTAAAAATAACAAACAGCCTTCCTCTGAAACTGGAGTTTTTAACTGGGATCAAGAGTTTCAGGGCAACTGATCTGCCTGACCATAGTTGTATAAATGAGCATTTTTTTTTTGTGGGTAAAGGGTCAATGGTTATAGTAGAGCCTCAAATGTGTATGACCCTCTGGAGTCAAAAACAATTATTTAAGCAGTTTGGTCATCTCATCTACACAAAATGGACAAATACACATAAAAGCAGATGACAAAATAAAAAATAAAGAACGTTTTGTCCGCCTATTAGGAAAATTTAGTGTCACAGACACATTAGAATTCCCGTGGGATGCGAAGGCCCACAGCTTCCCTGAGAGGCAATGCCCAAGCGTGCGCCCCCCCCCCCACCCCCCAGGACACCACACCTGCTGCTGGAGGACGTAGAGAGTGCGGGCAGAACGGACGGCGTGCTCCTGCCTCCTGACGCGCACTCGCCGTTCTTCATCTGGATCCAAAGCATCGTCTATTCGATCTAGAAATAATTTTTTCCCCAAAGTGAATTATATAAACCACCAATAAAAACTTGTACAATTTCGGTCCCTCCCTGGTGGCGCAGCGGGTTAAAGCACAGCACTAAGAAGCTAAAGCCGCTTCCACATGAGTTGGATCCCTGCCTGCCCCGGAGGTGACCACATGACGTGGCAGACCTCTCCTGACCCGCCCGCTGCTCCCCTCAGCAGTGTATTTTATCGATCTGCCTGTTCTGCTCCCCCTCTGTCTCTGGTGAAGCCTCTCACCACCCCTGAGCCTCTGGCCTGTACCCCCGTTCTGTATGCACAAATAAATAAATCTTTAAAAGGCGGTCCTATGAAATATTTCATTTTCATTAGTCCAGAAACAGGGAAGGCACAGGCTCAGAGGTGGAAGGGACAGCGTTCCGCCATGCAGAAGCCCCAAAGCAAATCCCACTGGGCAACCTTGCTACTATTAGGCTATTATACTGTTAGGCATCTTGTACTATTTTTAAAGGTTTTTACATTGAGCATTTTCAAATCTATGATGCTTTCAATGTTTTCAAAATCTCTTTATTGGCCAACTTTTATGTTTAGCAAGATTTCTTTTATACTTTCTTATCTTGAATCCAAAGCAGAAATCCTTCCTCCAACAGATTAAGATAACAAGTGCTAAAATGATTTGAAAATCCAAAGCCTTCATGCATTGGTCAGAAGTAACCCTGCATACACACTGGTACTACACATTTTCCGAAAACTGGTTCAAATAAATTATGTCCGGAAGATTGCCTCAGAGATGTACACTGTGGCCACTCCTTCTAGCCAACAGTTATAGGTCTATAAAAAATTCTTAAGCAAAACTCCACTATACAACTCAGATAAGTACAGCATTTAAATCAGTAAAAGTATACTTTATAAATACAAATGCTTAGTATTTTAATTTCAAACTTGAAGTAAGGCTGTTCTGAAGAAAACAAAAATTTGAAATCCAGAGTTTTAGGCACTGATAAAGTCTCACTGGAGCCTACAAACCAAACTGCCTCTATGTCCTGTTTGGCCTGCACCCCAGGGGAAAATCCAGCTTTGCAACTGACATTCATGTTTTGTTTTGCTTTTATAAAGACTTATTTTATTTCTCTATACAAGAGCTGGGGTATAGGCCAGAGGTGGGGGTGGGGATGAGAGGATTCACCAGAGACAAAGTGAGTGTGATGTATACAGGTATACACTGGCACCTGAGCTGGAAATTTCTGCTCTGGATGGCCGGTGGCCACCCTGGCAGGAGGATTTACTGAAATACACTGCTGAGGCGAGAAGGAGACAAGACAGGAGAAGTCTGCTGCACCATGTGGGTCAGCTCCCTGGCAGGGGATTGAACCGGTGCTACAGGGGCGTGGATAGCTTCACAGTGCTATGACTTAATCTTTAGCACACCAGAAAGGCCCCTGACATTCATATTAACCACAGGGGCTCAGGCAGGGTTTCTAACAGCTTACCTTGTAGATAATTTTGATGCAAAAAGTCTATGGTGCAGCACTAGGGAAGTGCAGTCACACTTCAAGGTTACTGAGAGGGTGGGCTGCAGGTAGGGGGCTGTCACCAGTGGTGACCAGGCTACGCCCAGCTAAGTGCAGAAATTGAAAATAAGTTTTTACAGGTTTTTATAGCAGCACATGACTCTTCTGACATTTTATTATACTTCACAAAGTTTTGACTTGTGACAGGTTGAAAATTTAAAGCACAAGTATAAAAGTACCCAGGAAAGCTTGAAAAACGCTGCTGTGAAGGTCCCCTGCAGTAGGTCACATCTCCACAGCAGTGGGCCCCGTGGCTCCAGTGCCCTGGCAGCGAGGCTTCTCAAAGTGTGCCGAGGAGCAGCGCCGCAGACTGACCCTCAGCAGCGCTGTGAGCCACGAGCCACACACTTCTTTGACTTCATGCAGGACTGTTCCTGACTAGTTCATGGTACTATCCAACATGCTCTTTATGAAGATCCAAAGGAGAAAATTCTTTCCAGCCTCATTATGAGGAATAATCCTTTTCTCTGCACAACTGTCTTATCTCTGTTTTAGACTCTGTCAAATGATCACAATTTCTTCGGATGACTGCAAACTCAGAAACAAATTTGTAACCCATCCCTAGTAAGTCTTATTTTTCTGTTCCTTGATTTGTTCTGTAACACCATATTCTCATTTACATTTTTTGTTCTTTTTGATTACAGATATTTTATAAGCCTTAAACCTTAAATGCCTTATACAACATGCATGTATGTTCAAATGCATTTGTGAATTAAATTTAAAACACAAAAGATCATTTTAGACCATGTACTCACCTACCACAGTAGCTCCTTTTGATACTCACTCCCTACTCTGAAAGCTGAACCTGATTCCCTACATGTTCGCTGCGGTAACCCCAAATTCTCCACAAGAAATCAATCCTCTCCTCCCAGGGAAACACAAGGGCATAGCGAATACTAAGAATCACAAACAACAGTATTATACATCTTCCTTTCTACCCTGTGAGTCAAATATTTTCCACCCAGTGAAAATTCCCTTTTCACTTCTGTGTCTCAGCTAAACACTGCCTAACTTAGAACAGGATCTATCAACAATACACATAAGCTATGATCTTTTTAATATAAATATAAAAAATCGTTTTGCTAAAAGGACTTCTGAACAAAAAAGCATCCATTACAGGATAGTTTGCATTCAAATGCCAGAAGACTATGGTTCAGGTGGCTGGTCCACCCACACGGGGCCTGGGCCTGTCACCTTACCAAGTGCAGCCTATATGGAAGAAGCTCTTCCATGTCCTCTGCTGTTAAGGGGGCTAGGCAGGGTCAGTTCTTCAGAGAAAAAGACACTGGTCAAACTCCAGGTCTACAGGAGGAGGAAGCTGGATTTGGTTTTGGGGGGAGGCAGGAGGAAAGAAGGAATATCAGAGGAATACATGTGAACTATCCTTTCATGGCACCTCTTCAACATAAAGAATCTAATTGTTCTCACCTCTTTTAGCAACTTCTTCAATTTTATGGATACAACTGCTCAGTTCTTTGCGGAGTCTCTGAACTTCCAGCAGGCTCTTGTGCTCACACAGGCTTTTGTGGTCACTTATTCTGGCAGATGGCTGAAGTCCTGGATCATGAGTAGGTGGTAAATTTGGCATGGTAAGATCTGACTGTCCCCAGTGAGATGTGTACAGGTATACCTTGGCACCTGAGCTGGAAATTTCTGCTCTGGATGGCTGGTGGCCACACTGGCAGGCTGCCCGACTCCTTGACTCCTTCCTTTCCACCCTATGGTCAGATATTTTATGCTTAGTGTGTCCATATTCCTGAGAGATTTGGGGCTGACTTCTGAGATGATGTTCTCTTATGTGTTCTTCAAATTGCCTTCGTTTTACATCTCTTTTGGCTAGGTGGACAGCATAGCTAAGTCTTTCTTCTGAGATGACAGAAAATGAAACAGAACTGCTTAGGTCAGGACCATCTCTAAAATCCAAATTTTTACAATGGTATGACTCATTGTAAGAGTGCTTCAGTTTTTCAATTCTAATTGCATGTGGGCAAGTATACTGGATTGCCAAGTTGCTTGAATGTGTAGGAACATTCCTATTAAATTGCAGCTGGGTCTTTAAAAAAAAATTAAAAATAAGCACAGGTTAGAAAAATAACATATTGCATCGTTTGGTATATGTCTCTAATCAAGTTTCAAAAATTTCACCCACACAATTATTAGTGCTAAGAGAGATTTTTCTGTTATGCCAACAGAATCAGCCACTCTCCTACAGCCTTAAATTCATCACCTACCTCAGAGGAGCTATCCATAGTCACCCATGCCCACAGTATAATCCTCTTGATTAACAGCACATTGGATTCTTTCTCTAAAAATTAATCCTTAAAGTTCCAAACAACAGCCAGTAAATTCCTCAACTCTCCAGTTGTGGGCTTTTGTCCCATTTAAAATTATTGGGGCCCAGCAATTCAACCCATGTGAGTTCTCCCATAGGTTCAACAGCCACACCTGGATCTAAGACATTTAAAATATTTCTTCAGGTTTTCCCGAGACTTTTTATCTGGAGGTTGGATCACATTTTCCCTGCACCTAGGTGCCTCTTGCTCCAGACAGTTCATTTGTATCTTCTTACACAGGCTTAAATTTTTGTCACTTTGAACCATAACAATGATTCTGTTTTGTTTTTCACTTAACAAGCAAAGGTATGTTTTCATATTGCTACAATTTTCATGACTATACTTTCCAAAATCCAGTGAATGGTTTTTCTATGCTTAAATCAATGAAATATAACTTATTAGCAAACATTTAGATTATTCCAATTTTTCACTAATAGAACTATTACTTCAATTAAGGTCTCCACACATTTAGTCTTTTTCACATTTTAAGTTAGTTCCTTAGGATAAATGACCTGTTTTGTTATTACTAGCTCAACGGGAACATTTTATGGCTTTGGACCTGTCCACTTCAGGTAGGCAGCCCTAGAGAATTAGGAACTCCCCAACTCTCACACAAACTGTTTATATAATAATGAGGCTAGAGAGTCATTTTAAAATAAATCCACTGTATTTAAACTTCAGGAAAGTAATTGTGGGGAGGGGAAGTATTTAAAAAGCTCGCTAGAAGTTATGAGAACAGGAAAAAAAAAAATGATTACCACCTGAACAATGCCGATTGGTGAACAGTGTTTTAAACTTACAGTTTTACTTGTAAAATGTCTTTAGCCCAAAATGTAAAAATAATCTAATGTACCTAGAAAAAAAAATGGGTGAATCCCTCTTTACTCTGGTATATTGAAAGATGCTCGAACTGACTCAAAAATCCCCAAGTGATAAAAGAGTGATAAATTTTGCTTTGTTAAAGTAATAATTTCAAAAACTGCTGCATTTATTTCACAATTAAAAAACAGCATAAACAAATACAAAAACAATTGCAAAACTGGAAGAAAACTATAAACACAAAGGGCTCCATACGTAAATCTTAAAAACTGAGGTGAAAGATTAAAACTCAATAGAAAAAACACAAGAACAATTGGCCAAATAAAATACAAACATGGCCCTTAAAAATGTAAAGTTGGTGAATCTCATAAAAATACAATTAAAATATACCAAAATACCAACAGATTAGTCAAAGTTAAGAAGCATAACCACACTTGCTAGTGGTGAAGCTGTAGGAAAACAGGCATCTTATAGCGGGCTCGCAGAAAAAGTCGGTGGGTAGAGCTCTTAGGGGCAGAATTTGGCAACAGATAAATATAAATATGTGGTTACTGTTTGAGCCAGCGGTTTCACTTCTGGGAAGTTATCATCAAGATACAGCACCCCCATCCCCAACAATACAGACACAGAATTACTCATTGCTGTGTTGCCTGTAACTGCAAAATGTTGGAATCAACCAAAATGTCCATGTAGGAAGGAGAGTGGCTGAATCAACGATGCTGCAGCCACACAAAGAAATATTATGTGTTCATAGACATACAAAAGAATCTCTACAAAATGACATGGAAGGATTTCTCAGAAACATTGTTCAGTGAAAAAGAAGAGTACAGAAAGAGTGCCTACAACATGTTACACGCTTCACATAAGAAAAAGGGGAACATGAGAAAACACGCATGTATCTAATGATCTGTACAAAAGGAATACACAAGAAAGAAAAACCGGAGATTAGGGTCTACCAGGTGTAGGTAGGAATTAGGTGTAAATGAAAGAGGGAAAGGCAGTGAGGATAACACTTCTCTTAGTTTTGCAAAAGTGTATTTGGAGTAATGCCAATGGGTCACATATACTAGAAAGAGAGAAAGGGAGAGTAGAAGGGAGGGAGACAGGGAATAAAGCCCTTAAGGTTGGAGAGAAATCCTGAAAATTAACATTAACAGAAACCAACAAACCCAACTAAATTTCAAAGTAAAAACATAACCACGCTATAAAATGAATTAAGAAAAACAATCTATCTTTTGAATACAGCATCTTAATGACATGATCTCTGGCTTCACTTTCTGTAAAGACAAGTAGTCTATGAAAACACTGCAGTCTAGTTTGTAGGCTCCAGTTTTTGCAGAGACATGAGCTGCAATTCTGAAAGTTTGTACTTTCTCAGATTGAGCGAATAATTTGAATAACTGGAGCCAGTTTTCTTGATGCTTAGTACGAGAGTTACAAATATGAAAAGGTTGCATTAGAATTAGATCTGTGCCAACTCAGGATTTCACACACAGTCAGGCAGGAGCACAGAAAGGATGGGAAGGAGGGAGAAAGAGGAGGGAGGGAGAAATGCGCATACAGATCTGCAGGTGGATGCGGCTCCCGGCACCCGCACACCTGCGTGCCCGCACACCCACATCTGCTTCCAGCCCAAGACTCTGAGCGGCCTGGACACACTGATCCTGACGGCCAGTGAACACTGAGTCCCAGATACTGACTTCTGCATCCCATTCTGTATAAAGGGGTGAAAGCTCCTTGGATACATGACTGCTTCCAGCGTTAGTGCCCAGAATATATTATTATAACAAAAATGTAGTAACTTTGATGGAAACATGAGGAAGCGACACAAGACAGCTTGAAGCAGCCCTCACTGGCCACATCAGAGATCACTTAAATACTACAAAAGGTATACGGACATTGAAATAGAAGGTAAGTGATGGTAACCTGCTGGTTAACTTAAGACTCTGAGTCTTCACTGATATAAATAAGTCATCATTTGCCAACCATCATAATAAAAAACTGATTCAGGCAAAAATCAACAATGTATGCTAAAACTAGTTGATGAAAGTTTGGGTTTATCAATATAGTCTCAAAGATAATAGATATTTTCAATTAAAAAAGGGAAAAGAATGCCTCTATAATAGAAAACCTGGCAGACACCACTTTCAATGACTAAAGTAACCAGTGCCCAGAATGGGACTAAGAGACAGCACATACATTTTCCAAAAATGCCAGTGCTCAGAATAAAGGAAACTAAAGAGATGACAATGCAGTGGACAAGCTTAGAATTTCTTTTGCTATAAGGACAACTAACAAAACCTCAGCAAAAACTACAAGTTACGTGACAGCATTTTATCTATTGTTAATTCCCTGATATGACCAGTGTATTATGATTATATAAGAGAAGTTGCTGTTAGAACTGCAACTTAATCTTATGGAAAATAATGGATAGCACATGGGAAGAAGAGAGAAAAAGGAAGCGATGTCAACATTGAGGAAATCTGGGAGACAGTATGTACTTCTGTGTACTGTTCTTGTGACGTATCAACCCACAATTATGTCAAAATTCTTCATAAATTACAAGGAGATATTACTAAACATCCACCAGAATGGTTATAATTGTTCAAAAAGAGCAAAATCTTGTCAAAAATGTAGAGCATAGGAACTCTTGTACATGACTAGTAGGAATGTAAAATAGTAGAACCACTTCGAAAAAATGTTAAAAGAAAAAAAAATAAGCACACACCCTTTTATGACCCAGTGATAGCACTCCCAGGTATTTTATCCAAGATGCATATACAAAAAACATTTGTAGAATGTATTTACAGCAGTTGTACTTATAATTCAAGCTAGAAATAGCCAAGTATCCATCACTGGAGAACAGATAAGCTGTAGCACACTCCCCTGTGCACAGTATGGATGAAACTCAAAAACATTATCACAGAAGATTTACACAGAAGAGTACACAGTGTATTACATTTATACAAAGTTCAAGAACATGCAAAACTAATCTCGGTAGGGGAAAAATGAGAACAGCGGCAGCTTCCTGAGAGTAGGAGTGGAGTCAGACGAGGAAGGGACTTAGAACTTTCTGGCTACTAGACATGATCTGTGTGGACAGATTACACAGGTGTATACCTTTGTCAAAACTCAGACAATGTCACAAATGTATACATTTTGCTGTGCTCATTTCAGATGTAAAATTTTTACCAAAAGAAAATAATGGTAAACAATGAATTCCTGTGTATGGTACCCATTCTAAAGTAGATACAGTATTCATGTCTGCAATTTACTTTGATTAAGAGTCAAAAAAGATGGGTAGATG